CACAAATTAAGAAAAACATTTAATTTTCTGTTTTACCCTTTATTAATATATTTTATAAAAAATTTCATTGGCCAAAACATTAAAACAATAGGGATAAAACTAGAATTTTCACCAAACATTTGCATTAAAAACCTAAAACGACAACTATTATGAAACAAAATTTAAATCCTAAACGACAACTAAACTGAAACGGAGGGAGTAATATTTTAAACTATAAAGGAAGATAATTCAAAATAAATAGAATATGTCAATTCACTTAATACTAGTACCCCTTTATTTCAATTTATTTGTATTTTAAAGTTATTGCACACAGATAAAAAATTACAAAATTCTCATTTAATTTATCTTTTTTTTTACATAAAATCGTCATTAACAACAACTAATTCAACCAATAAAAAACATGAGATAAAATATAATTGATCAAAAACTATTAAGTACATTTAATTTTTGCTTAGAAAATTGAAAACAACACTTATTTTGCAACAAATGTTTTTGGTTAAACTACAAATAAATTGAAAAGAGAAAGTATTAATTTTGAGATAGAAATCCAACATTCTTTTGTGGAAGCCCCCTTGGCCCATTGGTTGAACAAGGGTTAATTAATGCTTCTACATCCAGAGGTCTGGGGTTCGAGTCCCAGATACTGTGATTTATTAATAAATTTGCAGATTATTAGAGGCAAGTGTGCAGGAAATCTCCAGCGATGTACAATTATAGCCGTTCGCCAGGATTCTACGCAGAGAGGGAAGTGTCCATCAAGAGCATAAAGAAAGAGGTGAAGGAGGTGAGTATGAAGAAGAAGGTGAAGAAGGTGTCATTATTCGTGGATCTAATAAGAGTCGGAAGGAATTGTCCGTTGTAGAATCGTCTATGTAACAGTTCTCATAATTTGCAATAAATAATAAATCCAGATGTTAAAAAAAAAAAAATCCAACATTCTTCCCTTAAACAAAACCATATATATAATTTTTTTCTTTGTTAATTTTCTGCTATAATATTTTGGTAACTGACTTTGAATTAAAAATCCATGGACACCTATATCAAAGCGTAGTAAACCACGTACACATATCATCATACAAAAAGAAATAGATCTCGATCAAATATTAGTGAACAAAAAAGATTAAGTAAACATAATATTCTTGAATATTTCGGAGAAAACCCAAATGTATAACTATAAGTCCATGTGTTAAATTTCACGGACTGCCGTCGAGCTTGTTCCATGTGGAGCGGCATGATAGGCCAATAGTTAATATTTATGAGGTACATATCTATTCTCTTTAAATTAGTATATCGAATACAAAAACAAAGTTTAATTTCTTTAATTATTCATCCAAAAATGTCGAAGCAAATAGGTATGAGAAAAATATTGACGTGGTGAATAATGGAATAGCGAGCGAGAGAGAGGGATATTGTTATCTGCACTCGATATTTTGAACTGTTTTCAACTTGTTTATGTAGAAGATTTCACAATTGGTCATGTGTAACGATCTTTGATAACTTAGATGTCGAAACATATGAACGCTTATATATATAATATTGATATTTTGGGGCAAATTAATACTATTAGGTTTGACAAAAAAAGGCTTATAATTCATTAATTCTTAATCCTCTCGTCAACTAAAAGAATTAGACAAATTTTGCTTTCTATAAACTGATAACCTTCGTTATTTCTATTTTGACGGAAGAATGTTTAGACGAAAAGCAAATAAGCAAGCAGGTTTTTTTTTTTTTTTTTTTTTTTGTTTTGATCAAAAGCGATTTCATTAGCTAAACTAAACCAGAGCCTGTACAGAGTTATGAAGAGATAGTTTTGCGAGAGCATCTGCTTCCGATTAGAGTTTCTAGGGATAAAAGAGAACTAATTTAACCGGGCCTTGTGGTCTAGTGGTAAAGGGGTCACAGTTGTGACTTCCGCCACCAGGGTTCGAAGCACGGCCACTGGCTGGTTTACATAGGGGAATTGCTAGCTTCGTTGGATTAGTTTTTGGGTCTAGGAAGTATTTGGAAGACCCGCGGTTATTTTAAAAAAAAAAAAGAAAAAAAAAGAGAACTAATTTGCTGGAAAGAAGAAGATAGATAGAGGATATCATGTAGAGTCTCATGGAGTTTCATCTAAGGAGTCTCCGACGAAATATGTTCGATTAGTTGTTTAGAATTAGAAGCGATTGAGATGTTTTTGAAGCAAGCAGGTTAAAGAAAAAGGTTTATAACTTAAAGAGTAAGAATATAAAGTGATCATTAAAAAAATTAACGGCTACATAACCTGATAAATTAAGAAACAAATATACAATCACACGTGTACATTAAAAAGAAATCAATATATAGAATTGCCTTTTTAATTTCATTAAATAATGTGGAGTTCAGTGTTACTATATACTCCCTCCGTTCTTGATTTTCTAGAGTTTTTCTTTATTTTTAATTAATTGATATTAAAAAATAGTAGATTTCAAGACGTAATGATTAACTGTTTTAGATTACTATAGGTTCATAGTTTATTAAAAAAAGTTTAATAAAAATAAATAATTAAACAATGATTGTTTCTTAAAATATGTGAAATCTTTAAAAAATCAATTTAAAAAAAACAGAGGGAGTAATTGATTAAAAAAGAAATAAACATTTATGTTATCTGTAAAACACAATCTTATACAAAAATTTAAAGTCATTTACATCATCACCACTAAAGTTTTTTATAGCGTCAGTTATATACTACATTACTACCCCCTTAAGACTTTTCACACACATACGGTGTTAAGAAAATCTTGTAATTTTTATTATACTCTTAAGTCTTAAATAATACACTTATATAACTTGTAAGTTTTTCTTTCGAATTACTAATGAACTATAGTACTAAGAATGATTACGATTTTGATATATAAAAAAAAGAAGAAAATTCTATACTAATTATATAAACAGTTAAGTAAAAATGTAAAATTAGCACAAAGTGAATGGTAAAATATTTTTTAAAAAATTCGTAGCAAAAAGCTGTCGTTGTCTCTGCCACGTACTCACTCACTCTCTGTTCCTCTCAAACACATCACATGATGACTTCATCTCCCTCCACTGTCCCTCTGCTCACTCACCAAACTCTCTTTCTTCCATACCCGAATTCTCATTTTAGGACCCGACCCGGTTTATAACCTTATGAAGCGGGGCAAGAAGAACTCGGCTGCGGGTGACCCACTCACCAGCTCGGATACTCGAACCGGGTATAGCGAATTGAATGTGATGATGAAACCAAGTTTGAGTTCGATAAAATCGATGGGTCTACTTCTGGCGGTTCTTATGGTTGCTTCGGTTATGTTCTCTCTGTCGGTGGTGCTTAGAGACCCACCTTCCGATGATGATGTTGTTGAGACTGAATCAGCCTCTAGTGTTCTTCAGATCAGATTGCACCAAGGTAAAGATTTGATTTTTCCTCTCTTTGTCTGGGATTATCTCAAATGGTATTTTTTCCGCATAAATCTTTCTCCATAATGGTTGGTTTTAGCTACAATCTTGCCTAATCTTTGTCCTCAAAAAGTTTGGCTTTTCCCTGCAATGATGTATTATTACACTCTTTGGTGGGTTTCTAGTTTCAGCTATCGAATCAAATGATGGACTTAGCGAGAAGAAGGAACAGCTCGGCGACGTTAATCTTGTGCCTAGTTTTGATAAAGGATCATGCTTGAGCAGGTATGAGGCGAGTTTATATCGAAAGGAATCGCCTTTTAAGCAATCCTCTTACCTGGATAACAGATTACATAGATACGAAGATCTTCATACACGGTGTGGACCATTCACTAGATCCTATAACTTGACACTTGACAAACTCAAGTCAGGAGATCAGTCTGATGGTGAAGTTTCTGCTTGTAGATATGTAATATGGTTGAACTCCAATGGTGAACTTGGGAATAGGATGCTGGGTCTAGCTTCAGCTTTTCTGTATGCTCTCTTAACAAATAGGGTTTTACTTGTCGAACTAGGACTTGACATGGCTGATCTTTTCTGCGAGCCATTTCCAAACACTTCTTGGTTTCTTCCCCTAGAGTTTCGGCTCAACAGCCTGTTCAAAGAGCAGTCTCTTCTTCTCAATTCCGGCAACCCGATGGTTGCATATCGACATGTAGTTCGTGATTCCAGGGACCAACAAAAGCTTTTCTTTTGTGAGGAAAGTCAAGTTTTGTTGGAGGAAACCCCATGGTTGATCTTAAAAGCGGATAGTTTCTTTCTCCCATCTCTCTTCTCAGTCTCGCCATTCAAGCAGGAACTTCAAAAGCTCTTCCCGGAAAAAGAAACAGCTTTTCACTTCTTGAGTCGGTATCTCTTTCACCCAACTAATGTTGTCTGGGGTCTCATTACACGATACTATCGCGCATATCTTGCTAGGGCTGATCAAATAATAGGAATCGATATTGGGGTCTCTGAGTCTGGAAATGATCAGTTCCAGCATTTGATAGATCAGATTCTAGCTTGTGGAACTAGACATAAGTTACTTCCTGAGGTTGAAAAACAAAGACATCTCCCTTCAAGCCAAGTTCTGAACCGAAAATCAAAGGCAGTGTTTATCTCATCTTCTTCTCCAGGGTATTTTGAGAGTATCAGGGACGTATATTGGGAAAACCCAACAGTGATGGGAGAGATAATCAGCGTTCACAAGCCGAGCCACAAGGACTACCAAAAAACCCCGAGGAACATGGAAAGTAAGAGAGCATGGGCTGAGATATACCTTCTGAGTTGTTCTGATGTGCTGGTAGTCACAAGTTCATGGTCCTCACTCGTGGAGGTGGCTCATGGCCTTGGAGGGTTGAAGCCATGGGTACTGAACAAGGCTGAGAATGGGACTGCCCATGAACCTTACTGTGTGAGAGCAAGATAAATAGAGCCCTGTTCCCAAGCGTCATTGTTCCATGGCTGTAAAGATTGAAACATGAATAGAGTCTCGAGGGACTTTTTTTTTTTTCCTTTAATAGATGTTGTTGTACGGTCAAGAGTTTCAGAGTTGCCCATAGACACGTGAGGAATATTAGAATTAACAGTGTATCAATTCATGACTTGATCGCGTTCTATATTCTTTCCAATACATCTGTAGGTGTTCTTATTCATGTGTACAACAATATACATTCAAAAGTAGAAACCTATGGCTGAAGCGCTCCAAATGAAATGAGGAAAAAATACAGAAGAAAGGGTTTTGAGACTTGCAAGTTACAACAACATATAAGGATAATGTGTTTTTGCTATGTACACAGCTCGCCAACAGTGGTGTTTTAATCTTTAACGGCCTGTCTGCAAATGGGGCACGACCCGTGTCTGATGAGCCATTTATCAACACAAACCAGATGAAACGTATGATCACATCTCGGTAAGCTTCGTGTGATTTCCCCTGTTTTGATGTCCTGTAAATGCCAATGTATGAGATGAACAAAGGGCCATGATAAGTTCAATCAATTCATGTGAAACCAAGAAGCAGACAAACCTGCAGACAAATTGTGCAGTGAGTGACCTGCCTCTTGACCAATTCACTTGACATGATAAAGCATGGTAGTTTCCTTAAAGAGTCACCCGACAAGCCTCTAGCTTCCAATTCACCATAAACATCATCCCGCTCTTCATAACTTACATCGGAAATCCTTAACTATAAAAGGTAGACAAAACTGCTTAGATCAGTCTTTCTCCATCGATTCAAACTAGAGAAGATTGCCAAACATCAAGTAAAATAAATAAATGCAGGAACACAAAGTATATAAAACTATATTTATAGATCTTGGAAATCTAAGGAAAATAGCTATTCTTATATAGTCTCAAGACACTGAAAGAAGTTTGGGCCAGCATTGATCATAAGAGACATCCTTCAACTACTTAAAAAACTTGATCAGCAGTCATGTTCATATAGTAGCTTCCAGTAGTACTTTTTAGCGTTCTGTCAATACTCAATAGTAGAATTTCATAGAACAGATTTAAATATACACATGAAGATGAGTTAGGAAAGAACCTGCCAATGGTATGAATTTATCATTGTTGACATAAGTTGTTCATCTACCAGTCTCCCACGAAACAGTTGCTCTACAAAATCTGCCTGGATCCAAAACAAAAATACCAAAGGCTCAGATTACCAAATTAGGCAGAAGGTGGAAAAAAAGACAGAACTGTCCAGCATTGCGAAAACACCGTGCAATTGGTTCAAGTCCTTCCCACAAAAAAACAAACAAGAAATAAAAACAGACTCAGAGTTTGTCGAGTTTGTCGAGCTATAATCCTTTGTTAAATTGCCTTGTGGCATTAGCAACACAAAAATCATTCCTATTACCAAGCCATCCTGTCACCCCATAATTTTGATGGCCCACCAGTAACATGTCAAAGCTAACTCATTATTTCTTCCACCAAACTTCATTTCTCTCAGAACCCTCTCACCATCTCGATCATAAAGTCAGTCGAAAAACTCCAAAAACCATCTCCAATTTTGACAAACGTGTAAGATAGCTCAGAAGTTAGAATTAAAGACTAACCATAGATGATGGACCCCTTGATCCTGACAGCTCTAAATACCAGTACGCACGAGAAGCCTCCAAGACTTCAACAGAGAGGATAGCTCCAGCAACAGCGCCAAGTGCAGCCCCACGGAGAACTCCATACTGAGCAGCTCTTCCTGCCACCGCACCAGTTACAGCTCCAGTGAAAGCTCCAGCTACAATAACATTAAAAAAAAAACCAAGAATGGTTTATAAGGATCATGCAGAGATGATGACTTATTCAAAACCTAGAGGCAAGAGGCAACATCACTTTCCTAATCTTAAACCCAGGATTGGTCTACAAAGTGAGACCTAAAGTTCAGAATCATTCATTACAGCTTGTTGAACACGTATGCAGGCCTGCACGTATGATTCATCGGATAAATTATGCCTAATCCCTCAAGACAGGAAAAACGTAACCTTTTTAACAAAATTTGCAGGCCCACAAGTGATAATTTTTGGAAGAAATCAAGTGTAGAAACGAAGAAATTAGGAGGAACAAAATCGTCACAAAAGGAAAACTTTCCTCTACTCAAATTATATAATCAAATGCACAAACAAAAGATGATGAAAATGGAAAACATATATTACCCATAGCGAAAATTCCAGTAAGTGCGCCGGAGAAAGCGCCGGCGATCAAACGAGAAACTGTGTCGATCGTTGAGTCGGCGTTTCGTTCCGCCTCCACGGCTGGGGAAAGGATCGCATCCATAGAGAAGAAGAAGAAGAATTAAAAAAAAAAAAAACAATTGGATAGAGAAAAACCTAGGGTTTGATGAAATTTTAGACAAGGAGAAGAAGCTTTGCGTTGGTTGGTTGGAGAAAATTGTCAGCCATGGAAGTTGAGACCAAGCCACCGCTCGAAAAGCAACGAAGACGGAGCCTTCTTTTTTTCTTAATTTATTTTAAAATATAAATTCGAAAAATCTGATTTCTTCGTCCCGTCTTTTTTGGGCTCTCTTTGACATTTGTTTTTTCCCCAGGGCCCTTTTTGATAAAACTGAAAACTTAAATATCTATCAGTTTTGATTTAATTCGTTGGGCCAGAGGCTCCTACAAGTGGGCTTTTACTTGAAGATAATTACAAATATGATTATTACCTCAATAATTTAAGTTAAAATTCTCTAGTACACAATCAAAACTTGTCATACAAGAAACTAAACACCTCAAAACCACACTAATCTCTCCCATCATCAGCTGCTCATCATTATCATCATGTCCTGAGACAAACTCTGTGATAATGCTTCTGAGTTCAATCCAGCTTTTACCAGGTACTCTTCTCTTCCTCACACGATCCCTCATCTTCCATTTCTCATCCCACATTCCTTTTGAAGCGTAGATATTCGACAACGCAACATAATCTCCGACATGATCACGCTCTAACTTAAAGATCCGTTTCTGAACTTCCTCTCCTAGCTCTACATTCCCGTGAAGAATGCAAGCGCCAAGCAGTGTTCTCCATATCACAGCGTTTGGCTTGATCGGCATTTGTTTGATGAACTCGTGAGCATCCTTCAAATGACCTGAACGACAAAACAAATCGACCATACATCCGAAATGAGCGTCTCTAGGTTTCAGATTGTAATCCACAATCATGCTCTTGAAATATTGTTTCCCTTCTTCTACTAATCCACTGTGACTACAAGCCATCAAGACGCCGATGAAAGTCACATCATTTGGAGTAATTACAGTATCTTGGCTCTGATCAATCATCTTCATTTTCTTGAAGAGTTCTAAAGATTCTTGAGCTTCACCGTTTAAAGCATACCCGAAGATCATACATGTGTAAGTAGTCACATCTTTTCTCATAGTTTCATCAAACAATTTCCTAGCTTTCTCAATTTCCCCAGATTTCACGTACATGTTAAGAAGTGAGTTTCTCAGAGTTAAATCCATAGCCAATCTTCGTTTCCTCTTGATGCTCCGCGAGTAAATCTGTTCTCCCATCTGCACCGCCCCAAGATCAGCACAAGCGGATAAAGCCGCAGTCACAATCACTTCATCAAGTTCGATTTTTTCCTCTTCCATTCGTTTAAACAGCTTAATAGCTTCCACAGAGTTCTCATTCTCACTGTAAGCTGAAATCATCGCTGTCCACAAAACAATGTTCTGTTTCTCTGGAGTTTCGTCGAACACTTGGCGTGCATCATCGAGATCACCCGCAGAGGAGTAAAACCCCACTAGAGATGTTTGAATTTGAATAACGGCATTGAACCCTAGCTTCCTTACAAGAGCGTGGATCTGTCTACCATCAAATGAGGAAGCTTTCTGAGCTGACGAAGCTTTAATGGCAAACAACACAGAGAAACTGTCAACAAAACTGGGACTTTCTCTGAATCGATGCTGGAAATTCAAAAGAGCTTTGATTGGCTCCCCAGATTCAAGATAATGCTTCAAAGTGTGGTTAGATTTAAGCGAGTTGGTATGATAATGTAGAAGAAAGGAATCAAATTTGTTGATCACTCCAAGTGAATTCAAATGACGCAAGATAAACCTCATCCTATAATTGCGTCTCTCAAGTTTAGATTTTTTTCCCCGTAAAAAGAGGAGGTGGCGCGTGAAGCTCACTCTCTTTAAAACCCACCAATTATCTTCTCCTTTACTCTCAGTTCTCTCTAATTAACAATGGCTTCGACTCTGGGCGGCGATGAGAGAAGCGAGATAGCGTTTTTTGACCTAGAGACGGCGGTTCCGACCAAATCGGGACAGCCTTTTGCGATTTTGGAGTTTGGGGCTATCTTAGTTTGCCCTAGGAAGCTAGTGGAGCTCTATAGTTACTCCACTTTGGTTCAACCAACCGATCTTTCTCTCATCTCAACGCTCACGAAGCGACGTAGCGGCATTACGCGCGACGGAGTCCTCTCAGCACCTACATTCTCTGAAATCGCCGATGAGGTCTACGACATTCTTCATGGTAAGAGTTTTCGTTTCTCTCTCTTTCTCACTCTCTTTCAAAGATACAAGTATTGATTTTTGTGTTGTTGTAGGACGAATTTGGGCGGGACATAACATAAAGAGATTCGATTGTGTAAGAATAAGAGATGCATTTGCAGAAATTGGTCTCTGTCCGCCAGAGCCGAAAGCTACAATTGATTCGCTTTCATTGTTGTCTCAGAAGTTTGGGAAGAGAGCTGGTGATATGAAGGTCTCTCGTTTTTCTTCTTCTCAATGATAAATCTCAAAGCCTGTAGCTTCCCTGTTATCTTCATAGATATGATTCTCATCAAAGTTGCTAAAGTTTACTCCTTTTAACTACTGTAGATGGCATCACTTGCTACATACTTCGGGCTAGGAGATCAAGCTCACAGGTAAATTTAAAGTCTAAACGATATCCGGAGCCCTTTAGAGATTGACCAGTTGTTTCAATATGCGACTAAACATGAATATGATGATTCACCAGGAGCTTAGATGATGTCCGGATGAATCTTGAAGTTGTCAAGTACTGTGCAACCGTCTTGTTTCTGGTAATGCTGTCTTCTCATTTCTTGAATAAGGGATAAACCGTAACTTTGATGATTAGATTATAGAGGGTGAGACATATCTGACTTCTGTTTATAGTTTGCAAGTTACTTTTTCATATGACATGATAACAGAAAACCACTGAGTTTAAGTAATTGGTGTTTACAGGAGTCCAGTGTCCCTGACATTCTTACAGACATGAGCTGGTTTTCCCCACGAAAAAGTCCGAGAGCACGACGAAGTAATGAGGAGTCAGTGCGTGATGGAGTCAGAGAAAGCTCGACTTCTTCCTCCTCGAGTCCTAAAACTGATCCGAGTTTGTCTTCCGCGGATGCCACAATCGTCAAAAACCATCCCATCGTTTCTCTTCTGACGGAATGCTCAGAAAGTGATACATCTAGTTGCGAAATAGATCCATCTGATATAACCACTTTAATTAGTAAACTACATATTGGAACTCTTCAGACGGATGCTGCAGACGAAGCGAAAACTGTAAGACAGCAGGGTGAATCACCTCCATCACCCGATACCGATGCAAAGGATGACTCATTTTTGGGTGTTAATGAAGTATCTGTTTCTAGCATCAGGGCAAGTCTTATCCCGTTTTACCATGGGAGCCTGAGAATGAAGCTGTTTCACAACGACACCCCTCTACATCTGTGTTGGTATAGCTTAAAAATTCGGTTTGGAATAAGCCGGAAGTTTGTGGATCATGCAGGTCATCCAAGGTTGAATATTGTTGTCGATATACCTCCTGCTTTATGCAAGATCTTGGACGCAGCTGATGCTGCTGCGCATAACTTACCAATTGACTCGAGCACAAACTCAGATTGGAGGCCCACTGTTATAAGGAAAGAGGGCTTTGCCAACTATCCCACAGCCAGACTGCAGTAAGTATTCAACTCTCTCTCTAACCTTTACATATGAGAATGAATCCATTGAGAGTCCCTAACCTCTGAAAGCATTCTCATCTGGTTGACAGAATAAGCTCAGAATCCAATGGAGATGATACCCGGTGTGGAACCCAGTTATATCAAAAAGAAGAACCTTTGGAAACCAATCAAAAGCTCGATTTCAGTAGCGATAACTTGGAAAAGCTTGAGTCAGCATTACTTCCCGGTACCCTGGTTGATGCATTCTTCTCACTCGAGCCTTACGATTATCAGCAAATGGCAGGGATACGTCTAACAGCCAGAAAGTTGGTAATCCACCTGAAGAAATGATCTCTAGCGAAGGAAAAATCATGCCTCTGTCTCTTCCTGTTCAGTCAGTGAGTCACTTTTGGTCATTCCCTTTTTGTAGATGCATGTAATATTAAGGAAAATCTTAGTCTCTGTTAATTTGTGAGCAATTGGTAGCTGAGAAGAAGGAAGTTAGTATGTTAAATGATCTGTCTTGCACTGACCAATGTAACAGTCATCCTGATTCCACAGTCTGATATTATGGATTCTCTAAATTTTTCTTCGGAAGTTAGTGGCCAACAAGTTCAAGTGTCAGAACTTGAATATAACAGTTACGAGCAATAACAAAGTATGAAATTTCTCCATATATTTGACTGAAGAAAACACAAAAACATCTATGGAAAAAGAATTTTGCCGCTAAAATATTCTTGCAAACAACAACAAACAAAAAAAGAGGCAGAAGAAACAGTAAAGTAGCAAGTACAGGCAAACAAATTTGCTTTGCATATGTGAGTGTCATGTAATTTACCTATACGTGTCCCAAGATCTCATGAGAGCTGAGCCTATCCCCTCCTTGTTTTCCTCTAGTTCTGTGGTTTGGTTTCCACTTGCGTTCTGCGAATATCAAACTTGTCTACAAACTCCAAAGGAGTGACTGTCTCATTTCTGATCCTCTTAATCTTGGGGCTCAACAATCCCCTATGGCTAAAACCATACAACTTGAGCACTTGATTGTCTGCAAAATTAAAGGCCCTCTCCATGCTCTTCAAGCACCTCTCGACTGCATAATCAGCGTAGCTACCACACGGTTTACACCCAACGAAATGGGTCACAAACGGCCATCTCTCATCACCCAATCCCGGGTGATACTTCTCTATCATCTCCTCATATCTATCAACCAAACCTTCCCAAAACCCGTGTAAATAGTATTGATTCTCCACAAACACTTTCTCCATCCATGTATCTTTCTGAGAAAGCAGGAGATAGATCAACGCTGACTGATCATCTGCCTCAAAAGCTGGTCTACCTTTCAGATAAGCGGTCAATACCTTCCCGGCCTCATCACGAATTGGCCCTTTAGGTCCCATTGGCGCCCAAGCATCTAACAAATCCAACGACCACTGACAATTCCTCAGCAGAAAACTACCAGTGTTCAAAGCAATCCACGACTTCTGATCGAACAGCAAGTCCGGATAACCGTGAATCACGAGATTATGCTTCTCATACCTAGCCAAAGGGATCTGAAACAGTATATCA